CATATTTTTTTCCTTCTTTCATCATTTGCTCTTGTTTGTATGTCAACAGACTCTCAAGATGTCTTGTATTGTTGGTCAGTGCGAATAAAGTTGGGAAAAAAATTCTGCTGTCGAGTCAAAACTTTTTTTGTTTTCAGGGATTTTAAAGAAGCCGATTGGGCCAACTGCTACGTCACGGACATGTTCAAACCAACCAGAGACTCACAACCAACAGCTTGGCCACGCCTCCAGGAAGTGAGAGTAACAGGCATGAGAGTCAGCTATTAGTCTTGGAGCTGCTCTGAGACGTCTCTCCGGTTCCACCGAAAGTCAGGAACTACTGCTGGGCTGGTAGAGCTGTGTGCTGCGCCATGGCCACTTCGTTTCAGAGTGTGTCCGAGCTCGTCGTGGCTGCTCGGCGGTTCTACGGCCAGGTGTTCGGAGAAGAAGCTCCCCTGGTGGCGGTGTGTGCTCCCGGAAGAGTCAACCTGATCGGGGAACACACGGACTACAACCAGGGCTTCGTCCTTCCAATGGTAACGCCGCACGAGCACGACCGCTCTGTCAGCTGATAGCTGCGTTTTCGCTGCGTGGTGGATGTTTACAAGAGCGAATCAGACACAGCAGAAAAGACCAAAGATGTGCTCGAGTACAAAGTGATATGTGCTACTTCCTTATCTGTGAGTGGACTTAACAAACGGGGAAAGATGAGTGTTTGTGTGTTTGTGGGTCAGGCTCTGCCCCTGGTGACGGTGGTGGTTGGGAGTCCAGCTGCTGGCCAGGATGTCAGCGTGGCCACGGCGACAGAGGATGCTGATGAGCCTCGGAGGGTGGACTTCAGGCTGCCTGCTGATGGATCAGCGCTACCTCCAGGGTCACCGTCCTGGGCCAACTATGTGAAGGGTGTTATACAGCATTACAGGGGTAAACAAAGGAGTGATCACAGTATCCACAGAAATAAAACAGTTCCTCTTCAAGACATAGTCCTGTCAAAGTTAATGAGGACTCCTGTGTAGCAAAACCTGAATGATCTCACAGGTGACGTCTTATCATGCAGCCAAGGATGTTTAATGTGTGCCTGTCTCTGTCTCACTCTTCAGCTCCTCCTGTCCCAGGCTTTAAGGCAGTGATCTCCAGCAGCGTGCCCCTGGGTGGAGGGCTGTCCAGCTCGGCCTCCCTGGAGGTGGCCGTCTACACCTTCTTGCAGCAGCTCCAGCCAGGTAAGGTCACAGTAGAGAGGGGCTTGAATTCAGGTGGACGTGTTCACATGCTTGCTACCAAATAAACAAAAGATTTAAATGCAGCTTATTAATTGTGGTGGGACAAAGAAAACAAAGAAGAGTACACAGTGTTATCATTAGATCTTGTCTCCATGTGATAGTTTATTATTACTATAAGTTGTTTCGTTGCTGCATACATTGATTGCTGCAATCAGAAATGTTGGACTGCTGTCACAGTTGGATGGGATGTGAATGTTCTGATGGCTCTTCCAGTCTCTGTCTTACAGGCAAGCTACACTCAAACACTATCTATAACTGGGTCCACAAGTCGGGGAGCATAGCAAAAATATGTCAGATTTTTATGTGAACCTGGAAATAATCAGAAGGTTTTAGAGTTTCAAAACATTTAAAGACATAGGAAGTTCTGAGCCAAGAGTAAAACTATTTCAGATTGGTAACTATTTTTAGTACAGCAAATCAAACTAAAGCAGATTGGTGGCAGTGACTGTGTTATCTCCTTTGTACAAAGGTCAGATTTCCTTGAGGTGCATCATACAGTTGAATCAGTGTTCAGATAACACATAGCTGGATTCCATCAACTCGTCAGAGGCTTGTTCAAGAAAATCAACCTGCAGCCATTGTCCACCTGTTTCTGTGTCTGTAGTTTCCTGCAGAACATTGCTCACTAAGCAGCAGTGTGATAGCGGGACACATGACATTAAAACTAAGTGAGAGTGTCAGAAGTCAGATTGTTTTTCAGAGCAAGGAGGAGCTTTTTTTATTGTCAAATCATGGCTACACTAAAGGTTTCTCAGGGGGGCAGTGCATGGCACTGCTGTCACACATGCACTGCAGCCCTGAACCACTCTACACACTTCCCAAAGCAGCTGCATGTGAGAACACAAACATGTGAATCAGTAGCACCATCTAATCTGATTCATCAGATGTAGGATGCAGAAGTAAGGTAACTGCACCTTTTCATGACAAAGACATCTTAGTTTTATGACACAACCCACTTTCTGGCGCTGTAACTCCTCACATATGAACTAACTGCTTACTTAATTTGACAGGCGACTACTTTTGATTAAGATATTTATCTTTCCACTGATCACTGAGCTACGCTCTCCTCATGAAAGTGCTTACAGTCTGCCTGCTTGTTTGCAGTCCTGCGTAGTACACTGGGACAGTGGATGGATATTTACTCCATGTCAACAGGACACAATGATGCTGTAGTGGCAATTCAACATTCTGGGGGAAAATAAAGTGAGCGATCCCAGAATGTGCAGAAGAAAGTGACAATGAGAACTGACTTTCACTGGTATTAACATGGTGAAAAGTCTGTTCAAGTTTTTGAGTTTGCTTTTCTACAATCATAACTGCTGATCTCTGTTGGTTTCCCTTACAGGGCCGAGTGTCTTCTAATCTTTGCTTGTCTTTCTTCCCACAGATGACGGAGACACGGTGTCCAAAGCATTAGCCTGCCAGCAGGCCGAACACACTCATGCTGGTGTACCCTGCGGCATTATGGATCAGTTTGTGTCTGTTCTCGGCAGGGAGGGGCACGCGTTGCTTATAGACTGCAGGTAGTGTATGCATTCAGCTAAAGTAGATCAACTGTCTTATGTTGCTGACTGCTTGCTCAGAGGTTGTCCAAAGGCAACTTTGGATTGTTGGGTTCTGTGTTTAAGTTCATTAGGTCTTTACCATACTACGTTAAGGCTGTGAGATGTTGTAAACTGCACCATACAAATAAAACTGAATTGAATGAAATTGGATGTTGCATAAAGAGAATAAGATCTGTCTCTGCCAAATTACTATTCAAAGGCAGAGGAAATTCTACATATTTATCCTCACTTTGTGGCTTACCTCAGGTCTCTGGAGGCCACACCTATCCCTCTGGCAGATCCACACCTGGTCATCCTTATCACCAACTCGAATGTGAAGCACTCTCTGGCCGGCAGCGAGTACTCCGTGAGACGCAGACAGTGTGAGGAAGCTGCCTCCATCCTTGGAAAGGACAGTCTCAGGGATGCTACCATGAAGGATCTGGAGGGTATTGTTTTCATATGTTCCCATCCTGATCTGTTTTGCCCCATTTTGTCTTACCTGGTGTCTTGTGAGTACTAGTAGTAGTAGCTTGTGAGTCTAGGTAAGGCTAGACTAGTAAGAAGTGAGTACACTCTTGTGAACTATCACTTAAATGTCAAATGGTTCAAAATGGTATCACCTTAAAGTAATCTCTAAGTTGAACAGTAGTGCATTTGCTCAAACATAAAATTAAAAACTGCCTGTTTAGGCTTACCATATTAAAGAAATACAGGTTCTTTAGTTCAAATGTAATACAACATTCAAATCTTTCATTTTTTTCAGTGCTTGGTATGTCAACCTTTTTTTTTTTTGTCTTATCTGACCAAAAATATGCCCCAATATTCAGCAGACTTATTTTCATGTTCTTTAACAAGTTTAATCTTGTATTTTTGTCCATAGAGGTTGATGCTATGCGATGTCCCTTCCACTGTCACAGAATCTCTGTTTGCCATCAGTCACCTCTGTGCCACGTCTGAAACACCTGCATGTCTGTTTTTCATAGTGAGATTGTGCAAGTAACGCACTGCCATTGGCGTCATTTTAGGAAAATGGCTGCTGAGGCTCTGATTAGTCCATGATTGTGATGGTACACTCAAACTCTTCCAGTTCCACTGGCAATTCTTTTTGATGTGGAGCTCTGAATCAGGCATACAGCCCATAGGACGAAAACTGAGAAAGTTCTGGTGTTGACAGTAATGTTATTATTGTACTAATAATGCATATAGGCTGATTGAAAATCACAGGTGTACTCAGTCGTTTGTCAAGGATTACAGGTGTTTTTACTTTGGTTTTAATTAGTGTCCACTTTGAGGCCACTGTTTTCAATATAGTCTCTCTAAATTATCTGTTTTTCATTGTTCATAAGATGAAATACTCTACTGTTCAACTTAGTAGTAATACAAGTATTGAGATATGATACATTTTTGACAAATTTGACATTCCCGTTTTTATTATATACTGTATGTATCTAGCCATTTATGTATTCTTTTAACTAGACTTCTCTGCTCATTTGTAATCTGCTTTGTATGCCTTTTCAATTGCCAATCAATAAAGTTGCCCTCCCTACCATTTCAGAGGCAAGGAGCAGGATGGATGATGTTACCTATCGAAGAGCTCGCCACGTTATTGAAGAGATAGAAAGAACTGTCCAAGCTGCTGAAGCCCTGAAGAGAGGAGCCTACAAAGAGTTTGGCAAGCTCATGGTGGAGAGCCATAACTCTCTGAGGTACAGACAACAGAGCTGTGTGACATCTGTTTACGCTGCAGTCACTGTTAAGGACAGAATGTGGGAGGTGTGTGGTAACTTGGTGTTCCTTTGTCAGAGATCTGTATGAGGTAAGCTGCAGGGAGCTGGATGAGCTGGTGTCTGCAGCCATGAAGGTGGACGGGGTGTTTGGCAGCCGGATGACGGGCGGCGGATTCGGTGGATGCACTGTTACTTTGCTGCAGGCGCATGCCATCGACACGACCATTCTTCACATACAGGTGAACACACAAACACACATCCATATATGAAAACAGTGCTGAATTTATTCTATCAAGACTATCATCAGTATACAACAAGTACAGAGGAAGCTGGTTGGTAAATAGTTCTAGATTTTGGGGAATAGCTTGTCTGCTTCTTATTGGGAGTTGGATGAAAGATCCATATCAGCCTCTTCTCTGACTACTGAGTAGAGAACATTTTTCCTGGAATGTTAAGCGAGGCTTAGCACTTCAAATGCACGAAACGTAGCTTCGACCAATAGAACCCAAAGCAAGAGAATTAATTTTAATCCTACCAGTTTCAACAGTGATCATGAGAATAAGTTTACCTCTAAGTTTTGCTCACATAAGTACATCAGATTATTAATAAATATATGTCAAGGCATGAAAATGTCCAAAGAGAAAATCCCACTACCCCAACGGATCTATATGTATTTGGTCATGGCTATACAGTCAGGTCCATAAATATTTGGACATTGACACAATTTTCAGCAGTTCGGCTCTGTACACCACCACAGTGGATCTAAAATGGAACAATCAGACATGCTTTAAAAAGGTGGAGGGCACATATATAATGTGCTGTAGCTCCTACGCCGTTCACCTGATTTTGATGTAAATACCCTCAAGTTAACGCTGAAAGTCTGCACTTAAAGTACATCTTGATTGTTTCATTTCAAATCCATTGTGGTGGTGTGCAGACCTAAAATGCTGAAAACTGTGTCAGTGTCCAAATATCTATGGACCTAACTGTATCGTGCCTTTGCCATCCTGATGACCCAGTACAGTGATAATTCCTGAAGAAATCACACAAAACTACAAGACAAGTCCCCCCTAACCAAAGTTTATGGCTACAAAATGAAGCCTAAAAATGAAAAATAGATTACAAAAAATAGTTTTCTTTGTTCTATTTTAGGAACTATTATGAAACTCTAGAACCGTGTCCTGCTTGGATTGGTCTATCGAGCAATACTTCTGCTTTTGTGGTACAACTTGATATATCTGCTCCATCAGTTATAAAAGTCCAATGAGGATAATTAGTTTTTTTTTTTTTTCCTTTTTGTGACCAAGTATTTTATGTTTAAGCGGATTCTATATGTTTTTGTTTTTTTTGTATTACAATGATATGAATTACCTGTGGTTCAGAAAAAACACTAGTGAGTCTGCATGATCAATATTTTGTTATTGTGTGATCAAAGATGAGACTTTTTTATGACGGCTTTGATTTTTTTCCATGACCAAAGACTACTTTGACACCATGGATGCATAGTTGTTGTAGTCATTATAATAGTTTTGGAGTATGTGGGTCTCTGCTCGGAGGACTCCATTCCATACGTGGCCAGCAGGTTGTATTTATGTGTTCGGTACTATACTGCCAAGTATGCATACTATAGGCCTTGTGACATAGTTGCCTCAAATTTTGGGCTGTACTATGGCAGGTCAAAACAGTATTTAATGTGTGTTTCAATACATGTTGAATAAAGTTATACAGCAGTCAAATAGAACAGCTTTAGATTAAGGCACCCGTGATGAAGTAGGCCAGCTGCTTTGCTAGGTGAACTAAGGTAAACATGACAAATTTGCATAGAGAAGTGAAAAGTCTGAAGAGAAAAAAAACAGTAACATTGGACGTATTTTCTTTACACTACAGAGAAAAACTGCATGCCATAAACTGTAAGCAGAAATTTGCAGTTTTACTTGGTTATCAAAGTTGTTGGAATCAATATGTTAACTGGTCATTGGTCTGTTCTTTCCTTGGACACCTTCTTGTGTGAAGGCCGAGAGTGATGACTCTCTGCTCCAAGCAACACATAACAACAGCATATGAAAGCCAAGCAAAAACATTTGATTTGAAGTTGTGCATGTGCATAAAGGTAAAGGTGCAGACCTACACTCTGAACCTTCCAGAGTTGCATGACTCCTAAAGATGTACAGCTTTTGCTGCCCCTATGTGGCCAATGAAACCTCTTTACACCATCAGCAGACTGTTAAAATTAGCAACTTACTGGTGAACAATATGCAGCAGCGAAAGAGACAGATAGTGTTTCCCAAGAACAGGTGGAGACCAAATCAGAGCTAAAATAACAGAATGACTATTGAATTATTGTTTGTCAGCTGGCCAGAAACATGATCCCATTTGAATGCAATACTTTTTAATCAAACATGAGTCATATCAGCTTAAGCCTTAACACTCACTGACCTGAGTAGCATCGGGATATTTTTTTTTCTTATGTATCATTAGAAAAAAAACACCTTACTAATCAGTGCCAAACATTTTTACGAAATCAACACCACAGCAGTAGATGTTTCTTAATTTGTAGTGAAGATTTGTACACCACAACCTGCAATTTTTTTTTTTAGCTTTTCTGTTGTCTGTAGCAGTATATACTTGTTTAATCACAAGAATCCAATCAACAAAATGCTTGCAAGCATTTAGTCTTGCTTTGGTGATTATACTTCATTTATTGGTGGTGCTTGCAGTTTGTTTTTGGTGCCCCCAGGTGGTCTGAAAGTCAGATAGAGCAGCCTTAATGCACTACACCTACAGAGAAACTGCAAAGGCCAATAAAGTATTTTTCATCTGAAAATAGGAATTTCACATTTTTAGTAGTGTATGGGTTTAAGTTTAAGGTTGTTGTAATAGAAGTGTGTGTTGGATTTGATTGTTGTTATTTTGTAGAATAGTACAGTAAGGGCAGCAAAGTCCATCTTCTTGTTGTTTTGCTGTGTTTGCTTTCAAGATTCTATTCTCTGGAAAATCTTTGCATTCCAGAAGGTATTTAAAAAGCATCTGAGGACATTGTTCATTTGTTCACAGGGAATAAAAAGCACTCTTCAGTGTTCTGGCTGTCACTTTAAGGGGGCCATTTCAGACGAATTGTCCAGTCTCCCGTGTCTTGCTCAGACAGCTCCAGTGTGTGTGAGTGTGAGAGATCAGGGGGTATGAGCTGAGAATAAAGGCGAGCTTCGTGGAGACGGAGCCAGAAGTGTCCAGTTATTAGCATGCTGGTCTGGTCACTGCTGCCTCTCTGCTTTAGCACAGTTCTGGTCTGCTATTGGCTGATATTTTTTAGAATCTTACAGAGGAAGCATCAAAAAAAAAAAAAAAAAAGACAAAAAAAGAAAAACTACAACAACAGACAAACCTTTGGAGACACCTGCATTTATAAGGATGACATGCTTTTTTTTGCAACAACAGTGAGAAGAAAAAGAGCAGCAGCCTTTTATATTTGTGAAACTATGGTTTTATAAATCTTCAGCTTTGGGATCAGACTTGGCAGACTTCCTTGCATCTCTTCTAACTTGACCGTAGCCTGGCGACTGCTGTGGCTTGCTGATTGTCAAAGGAAGTCTTTCTTGGAAATAAAAACACTTCAAACTTCTCTCACATCTCTCGGTCCTTAGCATTCCTGACTAGAGCAGAGGGAGCTTTGTCCTCTGAATTACGACACTGGAGAAGTCTTCACGGGATTGTTTGAATCTCAGCTTTTCCTCCAAGATGCTGAACCTCAACTCTCCTGATGACAACAGCAACAGAAACTCTCTCCAGGACCCAGTGTCGTTGAACGTTGGTGGAGAAATTTATACAACAACCCTGGACACTCTGACCCGCTGCCGTGACTCGATGCTTGGTGCCATGTTCACCGGACAAATCCCTGTGCTTAGGGACAACAGAGGAAATGTCTTCATAGATCGTGATGGCAAAGTGTTTCGATACATTCTGAATTACCTGCGCTCTAGCTCCCTGGACCTGCCAGATGGCTTTTTAGATTTCGCACTTCTACGGAGAGAAGCCGATTTCTTCCAGATACGCCCTCTGCTGGAGGAGATCCGCCGCTATGAGGCTTCAGTGCCTCTCAATCTAAGAGGAGGGCCATTAGGAGCCATGATTATTGTCAACATTGACTCCAAGGTATGTGTGATAAGGTTTTAGCAACATGTCAATCTGATAACACATCAAGTCAATGTTGCAGTTTTAATTACAATTAGATTCAAGTTAGGTATTTCATTTTGTCTTAAAAGTTTCATCCATATATATACACGCATTAGAGCACATCAGACCCTCTTGTTAGTGTCAGTGTGGACTCACACTGACACCAAAAGTGTCAGGATATCAATTTCCCAAGAGGTAATGTTTAGGAACTTTCCCAGGGGTAAAAGTTCCTCCAGCGAATCGTAACACGTTTTTACAGCAGGAAAAAAATCCCAAGAAGATTTAGCCAATTAGTCTGGTGATGTATCAAAAGTGTGACAGTCTCAAATTCATCAGTGCAACAGTAAATAACAAGAGTGGTCCATCGGGCATCACTTTTTCGAGATGCTCCATCCTGATTAATGTTGACCAAAAACTGCAAGCAAGACGACCTAGTTGCAGTTGGGTTTTTTTTGGTTTTTCATTCTGCATAAAAATACTTAAAATACTGAAATGGATGTGCAGTCAGCGATGCACAGTATTGCCAGTCTCACCCCTAAAGCCTCTGAACCTTCAGAAAATACAGCCTGTTCTCTTAAACTTTATTTACAAGGTTGCTTTAATGGAAACACACCTTATGCTTGTCACTTTACAAGAACATCAATTACAGACTAAAAAACTAAAAAACAAAACAAAAAACCCTAAGATGGAGTGGTTCCAATTCGTTTGAATGCAAGCCATGTAGCTCTGTTTCAAAATATGTTGAACTAAAGCGGTTACAATTATTTCAAACTTAAAATTTGTTGTCATGACAAAGTAACTGCAGACAATTGCAAACCATCTTTCCCTTATCCATGACTTTTCCATCTTCGGTGAGGCCTGAAAAATGCTTCTACGTATTACGTGTCCAATGATTGGTAAAGTGGTTACCCATTCAGTCAAGTCCACTAGTCTTATCCATTTTTTACTGACAAAGAGAATAAGCTTTTTCACTGATAACGGAAAAGAAAATGATAGATCCGATGTAAGGTGAAGATCTTGCAGAATTTATACAGAGAACCCAACAAAATTCCCCTTTACTGGGAAGGACAAAAATGTATGAATATACACTTTTACCAATACGTGAACATTAGTTGAGAATTAACATATAAAGTGAATTCTGGACAGTCAGTGAAAAATTTGAAAGGCTTAGAACTAACCCAAAATGACCAAAGTGTACTTGAGTTTAGGTGTTAGACTTTAAGTCATTCTTTGTGAGCAGCTGGACAAAGTGTCCAGGGACCGCAACGCCAAAGTACCCTCAAAAGTTCAAGATTTTCGTCAAGAAATGTGAACCATTAAAGTACAATATAATGAAGTGGGGTCCTGCTGTATTTGCAAATGGATGCTTTGCTCGTTGCTCACGTAATCTTCTAAATGGAAATAAACAAATAAATTACTGTGATAATGTCCACTAACACTATAATAGGTTATTCTGGCCATGCTCAGAAGACAAAAAGAACCCAACATGCACTGGCATTTTGATTGGAGCATAGCAATATTTTGTTATCAATATCAAATTGGGTTTCAGTCGAGAATTTTTCTGTTGACTGAAAATTTGAAAAATACAGGCCCTCACAACCCTGTAGAGGTTCTGTTTGCTGTACACACAAATATGTGCAGAGGTTGGGATTGTGAACCTGTTTGCATATTCAGAGACACAGATGGATTCGTCCTCTGTTTGTGTACACTCTGGAGAATGTGTAGTCAGCATATTCTCCCCTCTCATTCCAGGTTCGCGTTCTCCACTTTAACTTGCGCCATGGACCAGAAAACTATGAGCTTCGCACATGCTCTGTTCGAGCCTTCACAGTCGACCTCTTTTGTACCTGGAGGGCTTTCCTAGCTCTGCTATGTGAGCGCTTCTCCTATATGACATCACAGGGTCTCACTAGCCCTCACCCATGCAGCCCAAGGCAGAACAGGCTAAAACTGGAGTGGGTGCCAAGACCTGATGAACTCCCTCAGGACCAGTATGACAAGCAGTGCTACCGGGGACTAACTGTGTCCAATCCTGAGGCAGCGCAGTCAGATGACATCATGAACATGCACCTGAGTCCCTGTGAAATCACAGACATGCAGGGCTTTGTGGAGGAGTTGTTAAAGGTGTCTCTGGCTGAAGGGTTCAAGGTTGATCTGGTCACTCCTGACCCAGCAGAGATTCTTAACTGTACCTCACTTCGACTTGTCAAGTGCTGAGCAATGGGTTAAACACACTAAATGCCATAGATTCTTTCTAGTCAACACAAAACCTTGTTTCCTTAGGATTTAAATGATTTAATCAAATCTTTGAGTTTAGGGTTACATACAGGTTATGACTGGGAGATCACTGAGGAAGTCACACTGTGTCTGTGACCACTCTGTATTTTCTTCTGTCATATTGTTTTCCCAAATAGTAAGTAATAAGATAGTTGAATCAGAAGTTTACATTCACTATATAAAAAGACACATAACCTTTTCTTCTCACTATCTGACATTAAATCAGACTAAACTTTTCCCATTTTATGTCAGTTAGGATTACCAAAATTATTTATACTTGCTAAATGCCAGAATAATGAGAGAAATCATTTTTAGAGAATTTTTTTTATTACTTCAAAGTCAGAAGTTTACATGCATTTCCTTAGTATTTGGTAGCATTACCTTTAAACTGTATGACTTGGGTCCAACGTTTTGGGTTTCCTTCCACAAGCTTCACACAATAGTTTGATGAATTATTCCTCTTGACAGAACTGGTGGAGCTGAGTCAGGTTTGTTGGCCGCCGTGCTCCACAGGCTTTTTCAACTCTGCCCACAAATTTCCTACAGGATTGAGATCAGGGCTTTGTGATGGCCACTCCAAAACATTGACTTTGTTGTCCTGAAGCCTCTTTGTAACTAATCTGGCTGTATGCTTAGGGTCATTGTCCATTTGAAGACCCACTAGTGCCCAAGCTTTAACTTCCTGGCTGATGTCTTGAGATGTTGCTTCAATATTTCCACATAGTGTTATTTCCTCATGATGCCATCTATTTTGTGAAGTGCACCAGTCCCTCCTGCAGCAAAACAGCCCCACAACATGACGCTGCCACCCCTGTACTTCACAGTTGGGATGCTGTTCTCAGGCTTGCAAGTTTCCCCCTTTTTCCTCCAGATGTAACGATGGTCATTAAAGCCAAACATTTCAGTTTTAGTTTCATCAGACCACAGGACATGTCTCCAAAAATGAAGGTCTTTGTCCTTCTGTGCATTTACAAACTGTAATCTGGCTTTTTATGTTTCTTTTGGAGTAATGTCTTCTTCCTCTCTGAGTATCCTTTCATCCCATGCTGGTACAGGACTGGTTTCACTGTGGATAATGATGCTCTCTTACCAGCTTCAGCAGCATCTTCACAAGGTCTTTAGCTTTTGTTCTGGGGTTGATACTCACATTTCTCACCAAAACACTTCATCTTTGGACACAGAATCCGTCTCCTTCCTGAGCGGAATGATGGCTGGACGTTCCCATGGTGTTTATACTTGTGTATAATTGTTTGAACAGATGAACGTGGAACCTTGAGCCATCTGGAAATTGTACCCAAGGATGAACCAGACTTGTGGAGGTCCACAATTCTCTTCCTGAGATCTTGGCTGATTTCTTTAGATTTTCCATGCTGTCACAAAAGGAAGCAGTGTGTTTGAGGTGTGCCTTAAAATACATCCACAGGTGTGCCTCCAGTTAACTCAGATGTTGTCAATTAACCTATCAAAAGCTTCCAAGGCCATGACATCAACATGTGGGCTTTCCCAAATAGTTTGAAGGCATAATAATCTTTTTTGATTTGAAGACAGTAGTAAAACATTCTCTAAAAAATTCTATCTCTTTTTATTCTGGCATTTAGCGAAGAGAAATAATTTTGGTAATCCTAACTGACCTTTTATTTTTTTGTCTTTTTTAGAAATGATGCTTAAGACTTTTACATCTAACTGCCTGAGTGACATATTGAAATTCCTTTTACAGTTTTGCTGCAGCTGTTGGCAACTCTGGGTAGGGCTCGAGAGCACGTAAGCATAATTAAAATAGTAACCCCATATTTTGTAAAAGATACCTATATTCTTCTTCTGCTTCTTCTTCTTCTTCTTCTTCAGTTCTAGAAGATCTGTAGCACAAACTGCTGAAAACTTCATGCTGGCTAAGATAGAAAGGTGCCAGGACATTCAGAGCATTGTAACTTGCTTATTATGGGACTGCGCAGCTGGAGAGCAGTCAGAATGTCTATGCTGATCCCTGTCAACCACCAAACTGGATCATGTAGCAGCTGAAGAAGGTGACGTGGTCTGATTCATCACATTTTGCTTTAACATTACATGGATAGCCGGATGCATGTGCATCCTTTACCTGAGAAGAAATGGCAGCAGGATGCACTATGGAAAAACCACAAGCCGACAGATGCGGTGTGATGTTTTAGGTAATCTTCAGCTTGGAAACCTGGGTCCTGATGTTCATGTAGATGCTACTTGAACACATAATGTCTACCTAAAAATTGTTGCAGACCACTTACAGTCCTTTATGACAGCAGTATTCCCTGACTGCAGTGACCTCTTTTAGCAGGATAATGCTCAACATCACAGTTGAAACATTGTTCAGAAATGGTTTGAGGAACCTAACAAAGAGTTCAGTGTTTTCACTTGGTCCCCAAATTTCCCAGCATCTGGGAGATGTTCTGGAAAAACAAGTTTGGTCCACTCTGCAAACACCAGGATCTGAGTGATCTGGTGCTAGTCTGTTGGTGCCGGATACCACAGGACACCCTCACAGTTGGCTGGCGGATTTATTGTTGTGGCTGAGTGGTGTAATATATCCTGCTAAGTGTAAATGATTGTCTTAAATCTCATCTGAATTTTATTTGTAGATTTTAAAAAAAATTTTATTGATGAGATCCTCATGACAAGTGGAAGTGGGAACTTTAAAACCAGCATTGCTTACATCCTCGTTTGCTTACAAGAAGCCTCCCCTTCTTTGTGTTTATTAGTGCACTTTCAGTCCCATACTGTATAAAGCTGAGTGACATGTCACCACTTTTTCCCTGTGTCAAAGTGAAGACCGAATGTCATAGAAATAGGTGCTGCTATCTTCCAGTGGTGATGTCATATACAACAGTCTGCAAAGTTTTGACAGGGGGGTGGAGATGATGTGTTGAGGTCCCTTCTGCCAATTCAAAGTTTTTTAGATTGAAAAATCCACGTTACAGCTCTTCATTCTGAAGACAAACTGCTAGTTTGATGAAGTTCAATTTGTCTACTATGATTATATCTTTTTTTTTTTTTATCAGACAATGAATGTTTTTAAGTAGGGTCTATCTCCAGATTGTCGGTCTGAATTCAATTTTATTTGTATAGCACGGTTTGCAACATATGTCATGACATAGTGCTAAGCAAAATGCAAACAGGTGATTTTTGAAAAAACTTAAACTTTACCCTTAAACTGCATTTGCAGTTGCCACAAGAGAATAACCCTGTCAAACTATTGTGAAAAACACAAGCAGCTTACCAGTCTGAATTTTTGGAGTTCACATGTGGGATCTCTGGAGCCACAACAGCCCTGATGTGTTGTTACATGTATGACTACTATGTGTAGTTGTAGGTGTTGCTGCTACAAACTAGGGCCATAACTTTGTGTTGAAAAGTGGCAGAGGCACAAGGGCTCAGATTAAAAACAAAATGTATGCAGTTTCAGGCAGTGTTGTCGACCAATCAGTATGAGGTCAGAGTAGATGATGGAAGGAAAAAGTGCATAAAAAGGGAACAGCCTGAGCTATGTCAAAGTTAACAATATGAAAATACTCATAAAACGCAAAACATTGTCTTCTGTACAAGTAATTCTCATTCATATGCGTCACACACACAGTTGCAACACCATGTCAGTCAAAAAATACCAGTATCACATCAGCATCACTGCATTACTGTCAGGGATAACAGTGTCCATTGGGACTCACCCAAAATATGACTAAATACAAACAGTTTGAGAAAGAACTCTTAAAACGGTAACTAAGCTAAAGTTTAATAATCAACCTTACCTTTAGATGTTGTTACTTTGATGTTATATACTCTTTTATGTTTATAGTAACAGAGTTCACAGAGTTTGAGTCAAGTTCATAGACTGCATATAAAAGATTTATGTAGCCTCAGTGTCTGAAAAGTGAGGCCAATGCACAAGTGCCTTAAACCTGCATTCCTTCTAACAGCCAGCAGGGGGCGACACCTCTGATTGTATAACAATATGAGAAAATAGTCCTGCTTGATCTGCTACCTCCAACATTTTCCTAATTAACTTATGGACTTAATTGTGCTAGTTTCAATACTTTTTGAATTTGGCACGGTTTTCATCTTTAAAATGATGGTTCCTTTAAAATGAAATAGACAATAAACGTTGATTAATTTAGGGCGGGGTTTCCTTGTGATTGACAGGTTGCTACCATTCCACCATCCCCAATGTCTTCCAGTTTTCAAATCAGATCTAACATTTGTGTGTTACATCTGGTTTAAAAAAAAAAACAACTAATATTACAGTGACCAAATGCCAAAGTTGACACTTCAAGATTGCAGTCAACAAAGCATTGGGTGACGTCGCAGTCGCTATGTCCATCTTTTACTCCAATGTATGATCAAACTCAACCAATCTTGACTCATTAATTTAAATATTAATATGAAAGCATTGCTACCTTTTGCAACAATATTAGTTTCTTTCACTTGCAAAAGTCTCCAAGGAGACATGCTGGATGTTCCATTCAAAGCTGATGAGAGCAGTTGCTTTTGCAATGCATTTGTTTTTTTCTATATTTACATTGCATTGAATGTTTTCTTACTGTGCAAGAAACCTTTCTCTAAGCATTCTCATTTCTTAACAATAACATTTGTTGGTGTGAGGTATTTTTGGAACCTTTTTTTCGAAATGTGTGCTTTTAAAAAGTGATAGGGACAAAATTTCCTATTTTAAAAAGTGGTGTGGACCTGTCACATGTGAAAGTTTTATTTTCATTCCTTTTTCTTTCAGTTTTGTGTTTTTTTGTTGTTGTTTTTTTGACAAGAAAAGTTTTTGTGTTGTTGCCATGAATGAGAGGGTTGATTAAACATGACAGAGATGAATGTAGCTTTTCCTCCTCATTTTTTTTTTCAGTTAAAAAAAAAAATGATTTAAATTCATTTCATATTCAAATTAGTGTATTGCATAAAAACTTTAACAGGCTGCGATTTCATGTGGGTGGACTCTATACGTTTGCCCTTTGAATGACTTGGAGGAGGAGTCAGATGAGTTGTGGACAGAGTGTGTAATTTTAGTCTGAAGGAAGCGGTAGTAGAGGAAGCTTGGAGGCGGAAAAGATGCAACTCAAAGGAAAGGTGTCTAGTTGCAACAACAAACTGGTTCTTTCCTCTTGCTCCCTTTCTGAACTTCCTTCCTCAGATGGTGAGTGATGTGTGAAGAATTAATGCTGTGCTGCTTTAAAAATGGTTATTGACACAATGCAGTTTAGCATTCTCACATAAAACAAATCAGACTGAGTGATTTGTTTCATTGTTGAAGTCACTGGAATTTAATGTATGCTTTTTTTCTCATCAGGAGCAGTACAGCGGAACTCCAACTTTTTATGTCACAACTCCATCAGAAGGAGCACGACCTCTCACTCTGTCTTGACCTTTGTCGACACTTCTGCTATGAGCACAGCTGATTCTGTCCTCATTACAGGCTTTATGCTTTGATTTCTTTCCTTTTTTGGGTGGGGGGAGGAGATAATCACTAAAGACTACCTGCTCCACAGCAAACAGTTTCTGTGGAGTTAGTGATGACCACAGACTGTATATAAACATGGACACACATCACCACATCCTCCCACTGGGCAAACATGAAACCAAATATCAACCATAGCAACCATGGGGTGGAGTTGTGGTATCCAGGTTCCGCATATGTGAGCAATATTAGCATTCACTTCCTTATTAAGTTAGCCTTTAAAACACAAACCTAAATTACAGAAAAAACAACCAAGTTTTCCCAGATCCCTCAGGATCACATAGTTAAAAAAGCAAACAGTCCTTTTTTACATTCTCAGCAGAGGTCTGCAGGTGAACGCCAAACAATAAGAAGTACCTAATGTTATTACAGGTATATATTGACTTTATTTTTTGTTCCATTCACTATGTCCTATGTTATACTTTCTATATCCTCAGGTATGTCAGGATGTAAATTTCTGTGTGATGTAAATTTTCTCTCCCCAAGCCTGCAAGAGTCGGGCCGTATTCCTCCACGGATCCATCTGTAGTGCAAAATCTGTGTTGGTCATGCTTCAATGGAAGTAATGTGTATGCACGGAATACATAAATACAACCTAAAGTGTGTGTTTGCAACAGAGTCTTCTGAATGAACTCCTGCAGAACTCAGAAATAGTATAATAACAACTTAGCATCTGTGCCTGCACCTGTCTGTTAGGGTTATAGGGAAGAGTCTGTGCTGTACTGCAACTAACCAACAGGTGGGGTTTAAAAAAATGTGTTGTCCATCTTTACATACAGTTTATGGTGGAGAAAAAAATAAACAAAAGGAGATTTGATATTGATCGAGCTGTCATAAAGTGGACACAAACCTGTTTCCAGTGGGGTGATACAGCACCCTCCATAATTATTGGCACCCCTTGTTAAGAAGTGTTCTTTAGCTTCTAGTAAATTCAGTTTTTTTCTAAATAATATAGGACCACAATGAAAAAAGAGGAAAATACAACCTTTAATTCAAGTGCATTTATTCAGTGTGAAAAAAATCCCACATTAAAAAATAATTCTTTTACATCAAATCATGTGTGCCACAGTTATTAGCACCCTTGATGTTAATACTTTGTACAACCCCCTTTTGCCAACAATTCATTTGAGTTGAGTTGAAGGTTACATTGTTCTACAATTTTCAGTGTGAGAGCATACTTCTGCAATAAAAACTGAATTTATTTTAAGGCTTTTAACACATCTTAACCAGTTGTGCCAATAATTGTGGAGGGCGCTGTATGTTGCTCTGTGCCAGCTGATGTGTGGAGAAGAAATAGCTTTCCAACAAATTACTTAAAGCAACTTTAAGCGTCAGGACTGTGTGATTGTCATCTTCAGCTGGAGTTCTTTGTTCAAAACTGTAGCAGCATTTATGCTATAAAGGCCTTGTAAACCCACGTGGATGTTTTAAGTGTGGCTAACTAGACCTCTGTACCTCTGTTGTCACCAAATTCAGTATCCTAATGAGATGGATAAAGTGTTGAGCTGTTGCAGCCTTACAGGTCACAGCAAAACAAAAAAAAAAGGGTCAGCTGGTTGTGAGTCTATTTTATGCCTTTCAGCCTGGACAAGAACTTCAATTAGACAGATTAGGTAACCACTCACTGGGAATGTGCCATGGGTATGTAGAGGCTTTAAAACATTTGTTTCATTTTAGTGACACTTCTGTCTTTTGTTGTAAGTTACATCCATTGTAAATTTGCATTTTTCAAAAAATCATACTGTAAATTTTAAAGGTGGAGTATGTGATTCTAATCCAATATATACTTCATGTCAAACTGAGTGAGGATCTCCTCATGATCTGCTAACTGTCTGTTCTGTGTGACTGCTGAAAAAGAACAGTGTTAGTACATATCCCTTTGCATTTAATGGTTTTGCAGGGTCTCTTTCAACCTTCCAGGTCACCATGGTAACTTGTGCGACACAAAACCTGCTCCAGACAAGGTGCCATTCAGAGTTTGGGATTTAAACTGATTGTAAGAAGGCCACATTTGCACAGTTCTTCTCCTGATGATATTCTCTCTGAGCAATACAAATTTTCAGCTGATGGATTATGGTATATCTGCAGACCTATTGAACCGTATGCTAGCAATCCCACTGAATGCAGCTGTGCAGTTACAGTATCACACAAGTTGCGTTGCCACGAGCACCTACATGCTTTCAGTTGGTAATAATAATACATAACATACGGTTTTATGTCTGGTCCTGATTTGCTGCCAAATCCACTTTTATGGTGCTGGAACTGCAGCTAATAGAACACAGATGAGAAAACGAACGAGTCTGTTGGTATTTATTACAGAGAATATTCAATGTTAATTTTACTGTAATTTGGCCAAAGTGAGTTTTATGCACCCTTCACTGTGGGACAGTGTCAGACCTAAACGCATTTGTTATGGATTATGTATAAATGTATGAACTTTAGCCACTGAACTACTGAGTGGTAAATTATACGTATAGATAATAACTTACACTGTTAACAGTTTTCTGCCTGCATTCCGCTCATGAATCATTTGCACAACCAGTGGTTTTTGCCATAATAAAATGAGCATATTCTTCATAGCTCTCTGTTACCTGCTCCTCTTGACTAAAGTAGGCAGCATGTCATTGTGTGTTTTGTGTGGAAGACGAGCCAGATGATGCATCAGACACCCCCCTTTTTTTTGGGAACACACACAAAGCCTGATAAAGATAGCCGGGTTAACAGAGAAAGTTGATAACCACTGTCTGATCCCCGTTATCTCTGATTGGGGTTTAAGGTTTGGTCAAGTCAGCTATATGCTCTGTAGTGCGATCCTCTGGCTCTGGAAATGGGGAAACAAACTAAGTAGTTGGACCGATCCACTCATCACTATTTAGCGTGTCATACTCTTGTACAAGATGAGGGGGAAAGAGGGAGAGGACAGATGGCGGTTAAGGGGGCAGTGGGGGAAATGACAGACTGTAAATCTAACCATCTAAACACACTAACTATCAGCAATTTTTTTTTCCAGAGTCACGTACTCCACCTTTCATTTCAACTGTATCTGCTTATCTTAGCCTACCTCTGTTCAAGTTAAATAATCAAGGTGTACTAATTTTGGATTTGTAACAATAAATAAGATTTCAAGTCATTTTGTTTTTCACATCTTGATTAAAAAAAATAAAAAATCTTGTTTCAGTTGTTTTCAACACTTGTGCCACTAGATATTTCTATACAGTTTTTCAGATAAGGAATTCAGATCTGTCCAAAGCTAATACAGGAGTGCAGTAATACCAAGTTTGAACCAGCTGTGTGTACACCTGTTTTGTTACCAGTTATTGTAAACTTACCCAGTGTGTCCCTTTAGCCAGTTTTACTGTGCATGTAAATGTTTTAGAAAATTGCTTTTTTAAGGTAGATGGTACAACTGTAGTCTTGCATAATAAGGAAAAGTGATTGTGCCTTAGGAGTGTTCTGCCCGTGCAGCATGGGTTCTCCTGGTTCTCCAGCTTTCTCCCACAGTCCAAAAACATGCTGAGGTTAATTGGTGATACTAAATTGTCTATAGGTGTGAATGTGAGTGTGCTTGGTTGTCTGTCTCTAAGTGTAGTCCTGTGATAGACTAGTGACCTGTCCAGATTGTCCCCTGCCTTCACCCTAAGTCAGCTGGAATAGGCTCCAGCTTTTCTGACAGCAACTGCTGAACTGTTGCGCACTAATTCAGTTCTTCAGTGAAACCTCTGGAAACAAAGTCTTGGTGTTTTCAGCAAAATTCCAAATGGAGTTTCCTTTGGAGAATTACAGTATTTTCCCTCACATGTCAGGTGGGGTGTTAAATTGAGTTTTCCGTTTTGCCACTTTTAATTCAATCATATTTGCTTAAGTGCTATTACTGCAATATTGTGTTATGTGATCATCGAAATAAACAAACATAAGGCACCACTTAGTCACCCTGAAAGCGCAGATCCTTAGTCTATAAGTTACTGCACTTCACAACGCTCCACAGGTTTCTTCAAATTTATTTGAAATGTTGCTCCATCCAAATTACCAATAGTCACAAGTAAATAAAATAATGGAAAAATGAGAATGTCTGTATCTTGCTGTTCAGATGGATTTCATTTGAGTCGGTACTCTCTGACATGGTCAACCAGCTCTGTGTCATCGCGTCACCGTCGAGCAGCCTTCTGGGAGCTGCAGTAGCGGACCTGCCATCCAAATGCTTAGGAGGAAGACCAACATGCTTCATTTTTACATAGCAGGTTACCAGCATCATGTTTTCAGGGAAAAACTGTACATTAAGTCCTTTGTAAAAAAAATAAAATAAAAAAAGAACTGGTCTGTGGAAGCTTTTGGAACAGAAGCCAACGCGGAAGTGGGACGGGACTTGCATGGAGTTTCCGAGGTGCACTCGAAGGCATCATCAGAGTGGCGTTTGTCCTAGCAGGAAGCACCGCCGCAGCGGGAACGGGCGGAGTTAGCAGCGAAGTTTAGCATAGCAGGAAGCACCGCGGCAGCGGGGACGGGCGGAGTTCGCAGCGAAGTTTAGCATAGCAGGAAGCACCGCCGCAGCGGGGACGGGCGGAGTTAGCAGCGAAGTTTATCCTAGCAGGAAGCACCGCCGCAGCGCGGAGAGAAGCAGCCGACCTAGCTTTACTTGAACCGGTCCTCAGATGTGAGTTTCCCTCTGCTGAGACGGCGTCCCCCTGGATCCTGGGAGTACTCGCTTTCGGTCTGTTCACATTCGGATTGACTTGATAAGAGGAGAGACTTCGTCGTGAACTAAGCTGGCCGGAGGTGGATCTGCTCCAGCGGCTGTAGACAGTGGACATCGGCGGAGCAACGGCCGTTTGGTATCAGGTGAGTTGGGAGATGGGCCCGACGTTTGCAAGGAGCTGGCGGCCACAGGTGTTGGCTAACTACTGAACTACGCATTTGATCATAGCCACCTGTTCTTGTTTTCACTACCTGAACGACTTGAAGTGGAGCTAGCTGAAGTTGCTTAGCCAGTAGCTGCTCTGCGGCTAGCGGGCTAATCTGAACTCACTTCGCTCTCAGATATCGGTGGATTCACACTTTTCCTAGATCCAGGTACACCGTGTAGTCCCGACCTTCTAAGGTGACAGACTAAGGGTCGCTGAGCTGCACTGTTAACTTTTAGCAGGTAGTTAACAGAAATACAGTCTCACGAACACTAATTTGTGCTTTACTGTTTACTTCCATGTCGAATACGCGAAGAAGACGTAAAAACGTGTCTTATTGTAATTTTAGAGAAGAGTTTGTCTGTAATCAGTCCCACACTGAACCAACGTTTCCTTTGCCCTTACACTTAAGGATGTGTTTAGACCAGAGTTGATATTATGGTTGTCTGACCGCTGGCTAGCTAGTTACCTGTAAACACAGGTAACTAGCTAGCCAGCGGTCAAGAGGGTGAGCACACACCTGCAGCTAGAAGCATTTCATTCACAAAGTTCAAAACAGAGAACTGATCAGTGCTTTAACTCTTCATGTCGGTCATATCGAGTCAACTGCGGTGTTTATTGCCAACCAGGGTGTGTAACCAGGTGAGCATTAGCTGCAGCTAGTGTTGCATAATTCCGGAAACGTAGAACCTGAACAAGGTGTGTCTCCCCAGCAGGTATGTCAGTAAGGCCTTTGAGTCAACGGTCTGGTTTCAGACATGAGTAACTGGTGTGTTTGGGATAGGGGGGTATGTATGAGGGAGAGGCGTTTGACCAGTTTGGCAAGTTTCAGGAAAATTCACAATAAAATGACGACAAACGGACTGCCTCTATGGACTGTGTAAGAGAGTTAGGTTTCTTCAAAAAAAACAAAACAGAAAACCGAAAAACAAATACACAGTTGATCATTTGATTGAAGTAAATTTCATTTAGACAAACTGTAGACGTTGTGTAATGCAGCACTGTGCAGAATGGGAACGAAGGTTTACACATTTAACAAAGTGAAGTTAAACTGGTCTCTCCAGTATGATCAGAAACAAAATAATGAGAAGAAGCTGTTATTCAAGTGAGTAGTGCAACTGCAACAAAAAAGGAAGTTTCTTCTATTGAACCCAAAGAGGCGCGAAAGCAACTCCTTTTCTCCTAATTGTGGACTTGTTCTCCAACTTTGGTGGTAGCTTTGAATTCTATGAAAATATATCTGTACACCTGTTGTCTTTACCTCATGCACATGGTGAGTTTGTGGGACCATGCTGCGGTTGTAAAGGATTTGAGCCGTGCACAACAGTAGCCTGTAGCTGTTGGTATTAATGATTTGTGTTTTAGTCACTGTTGTACACTCGTTCCATGGTCTGACAGCAGAAATGGATAAATACATCTCTGACAACAGCTCTGTTGGGACTCAGCTATGTTTATTTACAGTATATGTGAGCACAGAGGGCAGGGAAGAAGCAAACAGTTGTAAAGTGCCTCCTTCCTAAAGAGCAATGAGTGTTTCTTTACAAGGGCTCATGCATTGCACCTTGCTGCTGTGGTATGCTCCTGGGGTTTTGAAAATGTAGGAATCAGCACTTACTGCAGCAGTCCAATCACTGGAGCCAAAAAACAACTGATGTCAAGTAGAAAAACAATAACAGGCACACACACACACATTGGTTTAAAAACATTGACATTTATGTAATTGATTATGCCACATGATCAAGGCAGCTCAGATTTTGAATAACATTCAAAAATGACATTACGGAGCTCAACTTGCATTGTGTCCTTTGAGCCAAAGCAAACTCTCAGACCCTTTTTAGACGTGCACTCCATTCTGTTATTGTGACAGCAACTGAACAAGTCTGCTTGAAGTCTGAATGTGCACCCTGGCCACTTTCTGTAAAAGCTGGGCCACCGTCTTACTAGGTTGAACCTAGCAGCTTTTCCGTGTCACTTTCAACACGGCACAAGTCTGAATTACACCCAACGATACCTTGAGTTGTGAGATGGGACTTTAGGGAAGTCTTTTTTTCCACATTTCAGCATGAATATTTGTCTAAAAGTATCACAGACGGCAAAAGACACAGTTTGTGTGCCATAATCACAACACATTCCTGGAGAAGTGATTGCTGTGTTTCATGTAAATCAACTGCAACCTTGTGCAAACCTCGACCTCTTCTGTTAACCTCAGCTAAAAAGTTTCTTTAAATCTTTGACGCAGAAGTTGTGCATCACTCAGACTGTGGAATCCTGACTGGATACTGCTGAAAGACACACAGACTGCGTCCTTTCAGTTCCACCTGCACCAGCCCAGGACAAGCCAAACAAAAAGCCTTTGTTCTAAGTAGACTTGGTGCTGTTTCACCTGCACAGCGAAGTCCACCCGAAACTATTATAAAGACAAAATAAATGGCCCCTCCCAAATGTAGGGCAAGGCAGAGATGAGCTTTCACCTGCTGTAAAGCAACATTTTCAACAAAGCAGAGAGATTTCTGAAAAATCTTAGTTGTACAAACAGTGCAAATATGCAGGAAAAACAGTCTGCGTGTATTTCAAAGGCTTCCTTTTTTAAGCTTTAATGGAAGCATGAATTTATTTAACCTTTTGTTGGTTAAAGTAGAAGTCGTACTTTGCTTGTAAACTTAAAACCGAGCACTTGGTCAGACTGTCATGCTGTGTTTCAAGCTGTTAACTGGTAACTTGATTCCTGTTTTACCTCCCCATTGTGCAACACATTATCTGGCAGGAAAAGGAGCTATTCTGTGGTTTGCTAATGGGATGGCATAGAAACTACAAATGCTAGAAAGTATCCTCTTGCTCGTCAGGTTTGCAGCAGATAGAAGTGAAAATGCCACGATAGCTAGTTCTGCAAGCTACCAAAATCGCATCCTGCTCGAACCAGTACCCCAAATCTCGAGAATGAAAGCTTCTGCATGTTTAGGCTCAATGCAGCTAAATGCAGGTATTTAATTAAAAAGTGTCTGATCAGAAGACTTACATCAAAGTAATGGTTGGCATGGCAAAGCTTATAACAACATTAAACAGAGCATTCTGACTAATGCTGGTTGTTGCAAGCACACATCGGAAAGACTGATTACAATTATTGTTTCCAAAGTCCAAAAACAACATTTTACAAATGTATGTAGAACTCAACTCTTTGATATTCTTATATCAAAGTCCACATTCGAACTCAAAAGCTGTCCAAGCCATGTGTGTGTACATTTCTAGTACTTTTTTCTTTGGATAGGACTGAATGATTGAGACTAATAAGAGGAAGCCCTGTTTGATACAGTACAGATTTGTTTCCTGTATACAGGTAGTTTAACTGAAAAAACAAAACAAAACAAAAAAGACAAGTGAAAAGGCCACACACTTTGTAAAAAGAAAAACAAAACTAAAAAACTTGAAACTGATCTACTTTTGTATTTCCAAAGCTGATCTCCATGTTGCGGATGCACCGTTTATGCATTGCTGACACACTTAGTAAAGCCAGTGAATGTAATGAAAGTGTGGTGATGCAGCAGCCATTCCCTGAACAGCCTGTGTGAGGTCAGTGTAGCCATGGGGTCAGCTTTAATACAGTTTAATTGGGTGAGTTGTATAAGAACTCCGGACAGGTTGCCTATAGAGAACAAAAGCAATTTTGTACCAGCTTGTGAACATGTGTAGTTATGTGTTAAAGTCTGACAGTTTAACGTGGGGGTCTGTGTGGACTGCCTCAGTACTGGAGCCATCCTCAGGTTGCCATTTGAGGAACTGCACTTTTTGGCACGTGATTGACAGAGGTTGCCCCTTGTTGAATACCCCTACTTTATCGTCTATTTTACTCTAAATGGGACCAAACAAACATGAGGAGCACCATACTGTATTGAGGGGAGACCTGAAACTAGTAATTTAAGACCACAAAACAGATTAAGGGTCATTTCCTCGTAGTCTTTGATTGCATCACATGTCTTCAAAGTCACCTCCTGTGAGCCATTACAAAGAATGCAGGTTGAAAGCACTGTTGTGTTGGTTTCACTTTTCAGACCTGAGGGCTGTGCTATGAAGCGAGACTAGTGGGTTATCAGGTATGTTGCGCTGAAAGCCAGAGTTTTCAGTATTATGGAGGTGGCTCTCTTTTAACCTGCTAGATCGCCATGGTAACTGATGCTGTGGAGCTAACCTAGTCAGGAGTAGGTTATGTTCAGAGATTCAGATTTAGGTTGACTGGAAGAAGCGTCAAATCATTTCCTGACAGAGTTGTGCGTTGCTAATATCACTGAATGAAGCCGTGCGGTTTCAGCATCACACAGTCATGAAAACCCAACATGTGTTTAGTTGGAGATGCAAGAATCACATCAATATGTTTTTTTAATTTGATCCGTTTACTCTGCTGGTAGTGCAGCTGATAAAATACAGATTTGAAAATGGGTTATTCTACTGGTATTCATTACAGAGAATATTCAATCAATAACATTGATTTCACTTTGATGTGGCAAAAACGTTAATGTGATATCCTGAGTTATGGGACAGTGTCAGACCTAAATGTGCTTCAATACAAGATGAGGTTTAAATATATGAGGGTTAAAGTTCAGCAGGTTTAAGGTGCAGCTGTCAGTTAGAAATAAGCAGCTGCATTGATCAATAAAATTAATATATTAACACATGATTAACAGTTTACTACCAGCATTCCTGCTTTGCGTCATTTACAGCAGCAGTGATTTTACCATCACCAGTGTTTGCATTCCTCTTTGTTCTCCATTATAACGTGTTGGCCGAAGCAGCTGCACAACGTTTCATGTAGTGCAGAAGAGTCACATGACGCCTTAAACATCTCCTTTTATGTGAACAGTCTGAAGCAGAAAGTCTGAGTTGACAAAGAAAGTTGAACCACCTTCATGATACCCGTGATCTCTGAGCCAACTTGAACCATAGCCA